GTCAGAAAGCTGCTTGCTGGACTACCCCCTTTGCTTGAATGATTTTTGTTGTTCTTTAATACTTTTAAATAAGGGATTTTATAAAGAAAGTGCGCACTGACTTTTGGAAACTTTTGGAAAGCTTCACAACTAAAGAGCTTAGGAAAAGTAAATAAGGAATAGAGGGTGAGTAAAGCAAATCAAAATGCAAAGAAAAGGAATAAGGAATCTCAATGGAAATCTCAAATTTTTCAATAGAAATCTCCATCCAAAAGCCTCCAAAAGCATCAAATCTCAATGGAAATCTCCAAATTTTCAATAGAAATCTCCATCCAAAAGCCTCCAAAAGAATCAAATCTCAATGGAAATCTCCAAATGTTTGATAGAAATCTCAATCCAAAAGCCTGTAAGATAAGCAAATCCCAGCAAATTCAAAAGGGAAACAGTAAACTACAACAATAAAAAAAAATCCACTACAACTACCCCTCCAAAAAAAAAGACTTTATTCTAGGGGCCTTTATAAATCAGCGCAGGGAAAAAAAAAATACATAATTCTAGGGGTCTTTATAAATCTGAGGACTACATTATGGTACCCGTTTGAAAGAACAACTCAGTGCTGGGCCGCCCAGTTTAGCCGTTTTGCGCTGGAAACCTTCTTTACGGATCCGCATGTGCCAGGCTGACTCACTCCAGGAGTGCTAGCTGAGTGGGTGCACACGTTGCTTGGAAGTCCTGACCACGGTCCGAAACTGTCAGATGCTTTCAGAAAAGGAAGTGCAGAGTTTAATTGGCGTCACCATTTTGCGGCATGTTGAAAGGCCCTTTAAACTGACTATCAACGTTCCAGTAGGCCAAGACCAAGGTGGGGTTCTTTTCTCCTCACTTGTCAGGGACTTTGTTGTGTTTTGTATCGAGATTCCTCAGCGTCCATTTGGCACCAAATGCCGGGAGATTACCACCAAAAGAGACACCGGATTTCTCTCGCGCATGCATTCATTTCTGCAATGATTTCTGTATCAACCACTGGAGTTGGGGTCCACTAACTCGCATGACCCTCGCACATCAGCATATATTCGATAACTTTTGATCTTTGGGGCAGTGGTCCCTAATACTGTGCACATGTTGTAGACCTGATGGAAGTCTGACATGGGCCGAGCCAGACGAGCCAGGAAGTAGAACATCTTTGGTCTTTGCATGGCATCAAAGACTCCAACGAACGCACAGTCCCCATCGGACGCAGATGAGAAAAAAGGGACCACCGGGGCCTCGTGGTGCTCAGTGCCGGGCATCCGGGCGATGGTGATAGGGTCGCTGGGGGCCGAAGCCATGTTCCTCTGCAAGCCGCAAGCCGTCTAATAGCGGGCTGTTCACCCGCAATCAGCTTGCCAGGGGTAGACCCAAGTAGATTCACTGATGCTACCTGTGGGCTAGAATCGATGACTAACTTGATGACCAACTGACTCACAACCTGGTTTGTGACATTGTAAACGTTGCATATTAAAGCTTCTGGCGCTTGTATTTCAATCTTGTCACTTTCCAATCCTGTGTTCAATACAACCCCTTTGAGCTTCAAGAGCACCAAGACCACATCACCCAGTCCATTGCTCACGCGCCAAAATCTCGGCTCAGCCGTGCCAAAATCTCAGTGGCACGGTGGTTGGTCGTCCAAGTGGACGACACTGAACCGAAGTGCTCATGGGGAAGGCCAGAAAAGCATTGAAGATGTGTAAGTGTACAATGGGACTGGCCTGAAACTCCAACTACAAATTCACTTCATTTCTTCATGATATACATACACACACATGCAATCACCTGGGAGACAGACAAAACAAAAAACACTAACAAAAGAACCAGGCACAGATCAGTTCACCATAATTCACCTATAGTACTTATCAAAAACAGCCCAAAAAGAACCCAGGCACTGATCAATTTACCTCATACTTTTTCAGAAACAGCCCACTCAGTGGACACGATTTGATGCCACCAAGCGGCTGGCTGTGGCGTCTTTGTCTTCGTCTTCCCGATGTTTTGGCTGGGCCTGGCACCCTTCGCGCCTCCCCCTGAGGAGTTGCTCCTCGAGCCGCGTCCTCGGCCCGAAGCGGCGGACCCGGAAGCGGCGCGTCCGAAGCGAATCTGCAGTCCGTCTCCAGGCACCCAACCGACTGTTCTACATCAAACAATGAGCAGAGAATGGTTCAAGCAATCTAAGAACAAACCGGAACCCCGAGTCATTGAAGGTTCCCCTATTGGAGACATGATTCATGAGAATGTGAGTTGATTCTGACCTCAAGTGGTTCACCAATATGGGACGGACAACTAAGAACAGCGGTGTCCGAAACAGATCAACCTGCGGACTCCAGCCATACTTCAGTCACCACACTAGTTGAGTACTGAACATAAGTAGTAGGTACATGATGGACATATATAGGCTATAGTCATGACTCATGACTATGGTATGATGTCGATCTGTGATTCTGAATCAATCACACCACGAAGACTGGGATTATTTGGAGGAATTTGGCTCCATCTTTTTCATGTGTGTGAGTGAGTGTTCATTGAGGCAGACCATGAAGGTGACCTGCTTGATGTTTCTGGTGTCTTTTTCCCAAGAAGATCACCCATTCTGCGACGAGAAGGAGGGATGCCTCCCCAAAAGTGTGTGTTTTTTGTGTGTGTCCACACCAGTTTCCATGGAAGATGCATAGAAGAATTCACCAGTCCAGAATTCAAGCACGACAGACGCAGGGGGGGCAGTGAGTCTCTTACCATCCACTTCCCAAACGAAGACGGTAGTTTGAGACTGTGACATTCCCGAGGGACGCCTCAGGAACGTACCTGCGGTTTTTTTACCTCATACAGTTGAAGCCGACTCCTCCACCCTTCCGTTTGCAAGTCAAGGTCTAGTTTCTGCAGCCGGTGACGGATTCACTAGAGTGGATTGCCTTAACTGATTTAGCTCTTGCGAGCATCAATCTAAGTTTTACTTTGTTTGATGTTTTTCCAGGCCAGGTGCAAACCTGGGCGTCTACCCACGCGCTTCTCTAGTAGTCTAGTGCCAACCTAGGCGACTTCCATAACTCGGTTTGTAGAATACCTGTTACTCACTCTTCAGGAGTGAGCCCCTTATCACTCTTCAGGGGTATCAGGTAGAGATATGTAGAACTTGAGAACCGATCTATCCAGGTGAGACGCAATCGTCTTCGGTCCCAGGCCGACGGCCGCGTGCATCCATGTCCGGCAGTTGTTCCGATGGATGTAGATAGTGAACATGTTGCTTCTATACCCTCCAGCCATAGTGGAGTGGAAGAGGACCCGTCAACCAGAGGTTCTAAGACTCATCCTTGAAAGCATGATAAAGCATGTAAGACTTCATCAGATCATCCTCAGATCCTTGAAATCACATGTAAGAACAAAAATCAGATGATCCTCAACGAAATCGAACACCTTGCCACCGAACACAGTGATTTCGACCTCAGCCCGCGACGTGGCACCGTGACCGGGTCGCCACGTCACGCGCCCTCATGGCCACCTACGGCCCCGTGCGACGGCGCGTGACGCGCAAGAGCCGAGCTCCGGCGTTGTATGGAGCAGCGACTGAGACGGCAGAAGTGGAACATGGTGGGACACGGGCGGCGGATAGACAGGGTGTTCTGAACTTGGCTGCGTTCTGTTCTTGTTGAGATGGTAGGGCAACAATTATTGTTTATGTTCTTTTTGATAGTTTTTGTTGTACAAGTTTGTTGATGTTGTTGTTGTTGTTGTTGTTGTTGTTGTTGTTGTTTTGCTGTTTGGCACCTAGTTGTTTTTAATAGTGTTTTGTTCTCGGCAAAGAAAACATACTTTTGTTATACTGTTGTATATATAGTGAGTTTTTTCAGTATTTCCTTTTTTGGATGGCATGGCTTCATCATTTGGGTGTGATTATGGGATGATCAACTCTTAGCGGTGATGTACAGCAAGCCGGCCAACAACCTTGACATGAAGATGATCCACTGAGCTGGGGGTATTCTTGAAGGTGGGTCACCTGCTTGTGAGCGCTTACTTTTGTGCCAAGGCCCTGAAGAGCCGTTCGCAGATCTCACTCACCGTCCTGTTGCCGAGTGGGCAGGGCCACAGCATTTCCATTGCCAAGGATTCGACGCTCAGTGACCTGAAGGTCGCTGTGCAAGAGGCCTTGGGGCGAGGCTTTTTGAGGCTGGTCACTGCAGATGGACAGTTTTTAGATCCCAAATCGAACCTTCCGCTGCACATGGCTGGGATTCATGATGGAGACTCCGTCACGGCGATTGCTCAGTCACCTGGCATCACGGCCACCAATGCTGCTTTTGCACTTTGGTGTTGCAATAGTGGCGTGGTAACTTGGGGCGACACCGATGGGGGCGCAGACAGCAGCACGGTCCAAGATCAGCTGCGGAATGTGCAGCAAATCCGCTCCACCGATGAAGCGCTTCTTGGCTTTGCTTAGGGCTTCCTGAAGGGGTGCTTAGGGTGATTTGTATGAGCCCTTTAGGGTGAATCCAATGGTTTTCACCCCCTTCCGGCATATAGTCACGCAGTTCCAAATCGTCAGGATTTTGAGTCGTGATCGTGACTCATGGGCCCCTTTCCTTCCTCATCATGGGCGCCCCTTTGAAACTGCTGGAGCTATGCATGTGTTGATGTTTTTCCCGGTTCCTGGCACTGGACCATCCCAAGGTTTGCCGCCCTCCGCACCGACGGGAGCATCGTGGCCTGGGGAGATCCTGAGCTAGGCGGTGACAGCAGCGAGGTCCAGTCTTAACCTTAATTGCGTTCATATTGATTCATCAACCCCCCCTCAGACATGGAGATGGTAAAACCTCGTCGTATCAGCATTTGTGATGTATGAATCGTAAAGATGAAACACCTAGGAAGCCTCTTTTGTCACAACCTTCGCAACCACGGCTCATTCTGTCATTAGTCGCCGCTGAGGTCTCAACTCTTCGACGTTCAGGAGATGTCAAGAGAACTAAACATTTGTATTAAAAAAACAATAAGCAGATGTTCAAGAAACAACTATTTAACTTATAACAGAATTGAAACCGCAAAAAAACAGACAAATTCTAGCAAATTCTTATTATGTATTTTGGTTGTGCCTTTTCTTCTTTTTTCTTCGCCCTTGCAGGAGATTTCCGCTTCCGCGGGTGCCTTCGCAGCCCTTCGACGTGACGGGCGCGTGGTGACCTGGGGAGATCCGGAGGATGGCGCCGACTGCGACCTCGGAGGAAGGGGACGGAGATGGGAGAGAACCGTTTATTTATTTATTTTTTGGTCACCACAGGTGGTGAATGCCAACTTTGCAGAGTTTTCAAGAGGTGTTTCACGGATCGTTTGCAGATGTTTGCAGATATATATAATATATATTTATATTACTAAAAACATAAAAATATAGACATATGTATACATACATATATATATATATATTATATATTTTCATTTTTTATGTGACATTTTGTTGTTGGTCTTTCCAGCTCTAGGGATCCAAGTACCTTCTCAGAAGGTACTTGGATCCTCCAAACCTACATAACAATCTCTCCACTACCCTTCTGAGAAGTGCTTGGGGCCCCAAAAAGGCAGCTTTCACTGCCGTCGGACAGGCCTTGTCATCCACCAAATTCCTAGGTGAACAGGTCCAAAAGCAACTGCTGGGCGTCCAGCAGATCGTCGCCAGCGAGGGCGCCTTTGCAGCCATCCGAGCAGATCGACGGGTGGTGACTTGGGGAGATCCAACGTGCGGAGGTGATAGCAGCAACTGATCTATTTTGCTTACCAACACCTTCAAAGGGGTCTCCAATGGAATACGCACTATACTTACTACTTGTGCATCTCCATTGGACATCCTGACGAAGGTCCAGGTATGTTGGATCAATTTTGCACTCCCGAAAACTAACATGGACTCTGAGAATGTCACCCTGAAAGACTGTGTTCCTCTACAGTCCAAAATGGGTATGTAGTCTTCAGCCAGGTATAGGATCACCTATCAACTTGCTCCACTGCATGGGACCTTAGGAAATCTCGGGGTTTATTTTGCACTGTTGTGTTTTTCTGTTTGTATATGTCAAAAACATGTTCGGTATATATTCGATCCGCCATCCAAGGCAAGGTGCAGAATCAACTGAACGATGTGCGACAGATTTGCGCGACCACATTGGCCTTTGCCGCCTTGCTGGGCGACGGCAGCATCGTGGCCTGGGGCGATCCCAGATTTGGTGGAAGCACTCGACGAGTGCAGAGCCAGCTGCAGGGGGTGAAGCAGGTCTTCAGCAATGAACTGGCCTTTGCTGCAGTGCTGGAGAGCGGCCAAGTGGTCACCTGGGGAAACTACCATTCTTGTGTACGAAGCCCCTTGATCCAAAATCAACTCAAAGATGTGCAGCAGATTTCGGGATCTTGCGGGGCCTTTGCAGCCCTCCTTCAGGATCGAACGGTTGTGACATGGGGTAGTGCCTCCTCTGGAGGTGATAGCAGGAGTGTTCAAGAGAGGCTGAAAAACGTGCACGAGATTTGTGCGGGTCGTTATGCTTTCGCAGCCATCCTGTCAGATCGAACGGTGGTCACTTGGGGCTTATCCAAGCTCGGAGGCAACAGCAAGAAAGTTCAAGACCGTCTTCAAAACGTCCAACAGATTTGCAGCTCGCGCTGTGGTGCTTTTGCCGCTATTTTGATGGACGGGACGCTGGTGACTTGGGGCGATCCAGAGTGTGGTGGTGACCGGCTGCATCGGGGAATGTTCACCGGATCCTGTGGGCATTTGAGGACTTTGTAGGAAGATGACTTGGGTGGTTGAGAAGATGACTTGGCAGGTTGGTTTCAGAATGTGACATGTTTAAATATATAGTAAAGATTAGTAAAGTAATTAATGTTCAACCATGTTCCACCTTTACTTGGTATGATCGAACCGCTCACTAATCACTATCGAACTCATTGTTTTCGTTGGTAAGTCGGAGAAAAACCACCCACCAAGTCTGACACAACTCTTTTCGCAGCTGATTCCGCCTCCGGGACGCCTCCGTGACATTGGAAAAAAGGAAGCGGGCTGGGCCGGGTGGCCCCTACGAGTGATGAACTCGGAGCTGGCATCGACGATCATGAATTGAAAGACCCGTCATCTACGCAAAAGCATGGTCAGCGTGTGGTGCGTATGTGAAGTGAGAGTTGTTTTTAGTTATAGGTTGTTTTGACTACTTTTGATGTCAGAGATTTCGGCAGACTTGGAGAATCCATATATAGCTGGTATGGTTGGCTTGTATGGTGGTTTTGCATACTTGTCGTTGTGGTTGTTGTGGTGTTGTTGGGTTGGTACTTGTGAAGCAAGAACAATGTTATGTTGAACCATGCAACATGCTTGAGACAAGAGACTTGCCTGGAGCATCCCGGCGCCATTGGCCCTTTGTTTGTCGGTCCACCGCTTCCCAGGTGGTGGAAATGGTATGTCTTGATGACCGCCTTCTCGGCAGTCGGGTAGCTGAGAGATCTGTGCAGAGGTGACCTACTAAGTCAACAGGTGGCTTTTTTGGAAAGCCTGCCATACCGAGCGATCTTCCAACAATGCAACATGTTTGCCGAACTTGGCTGGTTTTATGGATGAAAAGCCAGGAGTTTTTGCACAGCTGGAAGATCGCTCGGTATTCACGAAAGGTAGCGGTTGCGCTACCTGAGTTTTCCTTTTGCTTTAGCAAACATGAATTATAACCAGAGTGGACACCTATCTCACTGAAAAAATCGCCTCCGACATTTACTTTTAAGGGCCCCCCCTTTCAACTCCACCCTGGCGCGGGTCTTTGTCAACAGCTACAAAACATTGTAAATATTAGTGTGTTCAGCCCCTCCAGTCTGCAAGAGTGGCCCCAATTTATATAGGGTTTTCTGTTGCTGTCCGGCCAAAAACCTCGTAAAAACCGATTGTTTTTGAAGTGTCTAGCCTTCAAAAATGGTCGAACAATGACCAAAAACCTGGATAGATTTTGTCGGAAAGGTTGTTTTTCGGCGTTTGGAGGCTTCTAAATTGCACAACACGACGGTATTTACACGGGTTTGTGCGCCTTCCCGGCACAAAACCCTTTAAATTGCGATGGTTTTGGGCTGTGTACGCTTCAAAGTGGCCACAAAACACCGTAAATACTAGTGTTTTCATGAGTTTTCAGCTCCTCCTATCTTCAAGAGTGGCCTCAGACCACGCTATTTGCAGGCTTTTTTGTGGCGGAAAGGGCCTTTGCGGTGCTTGGAGGCTTCAAAGTGGCACAAAGCGACGGTACTTACACGGGCTTCTGCACCTTCCTGCCACAAAACCCTGTATATTGGGATGGTTTCAAGCTATGTACGCTTCAAAGTGGCCACAGAACACCGCAAATACCATTAATACCAGTGTTTTCAGCTTGTCGGAAAGGGCTTTTTGGCTGTTGGAGATTTCAAACTTTCATCACGCTAAGTAACTTGACCTACCTCAGTTCCCCTCATGTCGCAACTTGGTGCTTTGCCTCAACTATGATCCTCTAGAAAGAGCTCAACAAGGGGGGCCCTGACCTCGGTTACTCCACTTTCCCTGCTACCTTTCGTTCACCCCCTCCTCTCTCAAGTTTCCGTAAAGGCAGGAGTCTTCTCTCACTGCAGGACTTTTGGTGAAAACGTGGAGCGTCTCAGGTCATGTTGATGCAAATCATTGTCTTCGATTATGTGGACTTGGCCATCACAGGTGCCCAGCGGGGGTAATTAGTTGATGTGTCTTGTCCCAGTTAGGGGACTTCTGGAGGGGTCCAGGTCTGAGGACACGGCTTGAAAGGAACGCCCGTTGCGAGCTGGCTTGTCACATTGCCACTCCGTATGTCTTCCCCACCCAGTTAGTAGATAACCTTTAACCATTTTTAGGGGATTGGGCACCTTGTTTAACAAGAACAGATGGAGCGTTCGCTTCACCAGGTGGATCGGCTGACATGTTATATAGCTTCTCCATTTCAGCAACTCAACGATACTCATGTCGCTCTCTTCGATCGACAAGCCCCACATCCTTCCCGAGTGCCCTAACTCACCAAAGTCAAACGGTGGTACAGACTGGAGGTGGTTTAGAATGGAGGTGGTGAATCACGGAGACATGTCAAAATCAATGAATCCTTAGTCATCAGAACCTAGTATATGCCCAATGTTTGCCCGTGTGCTTGTTTTGGTAGAAATGTGGCATAGTTGCAATTCTGAGTATACATTGTATGGAATCCAATGCCTGAACAAAGTGAAGTTCAGAAACTGGCCCCGGGTTCAGGAACTGGTTTACTGTATCACACCAGATGAACTCCCCCAAAAGACCGCCCCAATGTACAACACGACTATGGCCAGTCCCACGGAGGGTTTGGATACCACCCAATTTGTTGTAAAGTAAGACTCTCTCTCCCCACACAAGAAGCGGTCGAGCCTTGGACATGTTCCCTAAGTCTAATGAACTGCTTGGGGCAGTCCGAAACTTGGTTTGATGATTGTCCAATTGAAAATAAAAACACAAGCCTCTGAACACATGAAACATTAGTTGCACATCGTCCAAGCTTGGAATGGGCTTCAGGAGGCCCATTCCTGGAAGACGCGTCTCGGCGGCGTGGGCCCTCTGCGTCGGGGGTGGCGAACCGGCCGCGCGGCAGGAAGCCTTTTGCTCTTTGGGTGGCGGATGTTGCGGAACAATATGCAGGACGGACCGATCGCCCGGCGCGAAGGGTCGGACGAAGAACTGGGCGTGGGTTTTTTTCTTACGGAAGACCCCAGGTCATTGGGTTTGTTAGTTCAAAAGGACGTACACGGCTTTTTAGTTAGGCAGAACATCAAAAACAACACACACATGGCTAAACTCTCGGATGGGGCGATGAAGAGAGAGAGAGAGATCTCGGACTGCACCAAACTAATCTTCCATCCAATATCTAGTTGAAGATGGTCGGTGAAGAGTGAATTGAAATCCCCACACTGAGTCTTTTGTGCCAGTCTGGTGCAGTCCGAGGCATTTTGTCAAACGAACGTTGGGGAAGATCACGAAAACGTGCACGAGGGCCGGGTGGAGCAAAGCAAAGGCAAAAGGATCAAGGGACGTCCCTGTGTTTGTTGGTTTGTTCATGCTACGTAGCTGTATGAATTGGTATCGAAACTCTTGGACGTTGGTCTCCTGATGGTGGCTTCATGGCTTCGATGTATGACTCGCCCCACCAGACTGTGATGTATGACTCGCCCGGCCGGCCTATGTGAGGAGATGCCTGCCTATGTCTTGATCTATGCAGTGCCCCTTGTCCCGGACCGTGTTCGAACGGCACTTGGCCCGGACCGCAGTCCAGTCCAGTGGTCGGAATTGGGGATTCGGCCCGGGAGACCGCACCGGTGCTTTGTGAAACAAAAAGGCCGTGGCGCTGGCGCTTCTCCGAATTCTGAAGATGGAGAGTAGCAACCTTTTGCACACTGGTTCTGCGACATGTTCTAATGCAGCCGACACAGGGATGAGAAACTGTTTACTGATATTATAGATAAATATTTAATATTACCCAGACACTCCGTGTTTGTCATGTATGCCTACATTGACCCCTCAAACCACCCCAAAGTAGGTAAATATACCAGTCCCATGGAGTGTTTGGGTTTTACACGCTCGACAAAAGACCTCGATTTACAATCATCCACACCAGCCTGGTGGAGCTGCACTGGTGGGTGAACGGAAGGGGAGGTACGAGCAGGTCGAGCTTTGACTGACGAACTCATAGTCACCACTTCCAGCCGCTCCCAGCAAAGTTCACCAGATGAGACAATCAGAGGGTAACTAGTGCACTAGTGGGAGCTGATGAAACGACCCGTGCTGGATGGTTGAACCCCCATTCCAGTGCGCAGACACGACCTGCGTTGGCAGAGTTGCTGAGATGTGCTCAGGGGATTCAATTGATCGGCATAGATTCCCGTCAGTGTTTGGGGTGTGGATTCAGGAAATCCTGCACCACCTGGCACAAAAAAAGTACACGCTTGAAAGAAATCCGGAACCTGCGAACCTCCCACATGGTGGATTTGTGCCTTCGAGTTGCTGGCGGCACCTCTCTATTTGAGGTTGTGCGGGCTCAACTGCTGCTTCACTTTACTGCCTTTGCTGGGAGAAATGGTAGCTGGACGTTGCTTGGCGCGGTTGAGTGGGCTTTGTTCGCATTCCGACGTGCGTGGAAGTCAGTGGGGTGAAGAAGAAACGCCGAGAATGTTGGTTGGACTCCACAAATCCATTCTGAAAGTTCCTGCCAGTGCCTGGCTCCACAGTGCCTGGCTCCATGAAAAAGGGTCTTGTTTGGCTTTGCCTTTGGCTTTGCCTCCAGTCGAAGAGGGTTTTCATCGAAGTTTCCACCCTGTGTGTAGAGGTCGCACAGAGTCTCTTTGTGAGAAGCTTCACTAGTATCCACCAACCTTCACAGGATTGCGGGGGTATGTCTTAATGTGTATGTGACGTATGCACGTGTAAAGACGTATACTGCATTTATGTTCTACATGTGGTAGAGCTACACATGCATTCTCATAGTCATTTCGTCATTTTGTTGGAGCAAAATTACCTCCTGCATGGCTACGTTCTGCTGCTTTCTCGCCACCAACGCAGCCACCAGCGCCGCCCTGTTCGCGCCCCGGTTCAGCCGCCCCTCCACATGTCGCATAGGTGTGGTGGAGCACAAGGTCTTAAAGCCCACCGTTCGCCTCAATGGCCCCTTGGTCGACGGGGGAGGGCGGACCCCCTCGCGGGTTCCCGGGGCGCGTGCACGTTTGGGCTTCAATCCTATATAG